TACTCCGGTTTCCTCCCACAGTCCAAAAACATGCATGTTAGGCTGATTGGTAACTCTAAATTGTCCCTAGGTGTGAGTGAACGTGTGAATGGATGTTTGTCTCGTTTGTCTCTATGTGTCCCTGTGATGGACTTGCGACCTGTCCAGGGTGTACCCCGCCCTTCGCACAGTGATTGCTGGACATGGGCACCAGCGACCCCCGTGACCCAAAACGGAATAAACGGGTATCGATAATGGATGGATGGATATACATATATACATATATATATATATACACACACATGTATATATATTAATATACACACAGTATACACATATGCATACAGTATATATGCAGCCACACACCAAAATGGAAGCCTCTTGTTTTTTCTGTAGTAGGCATTTAACTGTGAAGTCCTTTATAAAACCAGGCAGTTTACTGAACAACTTATTTGATGTTGCTGTGTCCTAGAGCCAGCAGGACCCATAATAAACTGAAACCTCACGTTTAAAACTTGAAGCAAGAAGAACGTTATCAAAAACTAAATGAGGTTCGATTATGATGACCTTTGAACTTGAAGGTTTAAATGACTGCACCACCGGGTCCACGTGGATGAGGATTTGAGGTTAGTAGTTTTCTTCGTCTCTCAGATCATCGTATGATGAGAAGCAGAGTTGTAACTGTTAGAATCCAGACATTGTTAATCAAGTTCAGTCTCAATAATCGGAGCTGCTGTAACACGTGTTGGTGGCCTAGCATGAGCTGTTACCTCTCAGAGGATGTGGTTCCCAACCCTGGTCCTGGAGGAACACTGTCCTGCATGCTTTAGCTGTTATCATGCAGGATGGTGTTCCTCAAGGACCAGGGTTGGGAACCTCTGTGTTAGAGCAACTCTCTGCTACTCCCACACTAAGTTCTAACTCAGTATCAGTCATACTGACCTGAGTCAAGTTATTTTTGTGTTGGCTAAGGTGGATTAGTTGTAGCGGCCATCTTGAATTGGCTAAACTCCCATTGCTGTTGAGATGCAGATGTGATTCCTTTTGTAAGACTTTCATTTAAATTCCTCCTCAATTACAAATTTTACAGACAAGCTGGCAAAAATATGACGTAAATCCACGAGGCGAGGGTTAGTTCCACTCTGAATGAAAGAACTTCTTCACAAGGCAGACAAATATCAAAATAGTTGATTTTATTTACACGGTATTAAAGTTATAAACAAATCAGGCAGTGGTTTTGTACATCCCCACAGAGAGCGAGTTACAGTACAGTGATAATCCTTCCTCCAGCTGCCTCTCAGCTTTGTCAGAACCACAACCTCCCCGGTACCGGGGGCCTCGGAGCGTTCGCACTTCATAAATGGTTCAGCCTGACCTGAAGTCAGACTTCAAGACACTTAAAATCCTTCAAGCTTCACCTGAACACCATCGTACAACCGTCTAAAGTTAGAGCTGTAAAACCTGCTCCGAGCGGGGGAGGAGATCCTCCATGAGGAGAATCTGGCACCGTCCCAACGAGGCTCAACGCACTTCCTGTAGGAAATGCGAAGACCTCTGCTCCGTCAGGGTACGGCGACTTAAAGAGTCTTGAAGTCCTGCGTGCTGGTTCTGGAGAGGAGTTTGGATCTGCGTTACCTTCATCTCTAACAGCCTCAGCTCTGACTTTGTTAAACATCTAAACATCGTTGAGGCTCAGATTAAACATTAATTAGTGTCATACGCTCTGAAAGTGACCGGATCATCAAATCCAACGCTTCTCTCACAACAAACTGGAAGTTTCATTAATAACTAACAAAGTGATCCAGGAGGACCTCTCAGAGGCTACAGATGACCCAGCCTCCAACCGAGCAGCCACAACCACTTCCTTTAGTTTTGTTTTCCGTTCATTTGGTTCGAAGACAAAATGATAAATATTAGATGAGGTTTTAGTTTCAGGTACCTGGTTTTTGTTTGTAGACGCTCCGTCCACTCATCAGGGGCATAAATCTCAGATTCTGGGCTTTTAAGGTTTTATTTGAACCGTTCTTTAAAAAAAAAAAACAAGAATTGAACAAACAAGCTGTAATTTACTGTGGATGTTTAGGCTCAAAAATATACATACAAGCTCAAACATGAACTACATACATTCAGCTAAATCTTTTACCGAGCGCTGCTAGTGATCATGATCGACTGCAGCTGGCAGTTTCTCACGGTCAACGTAATAACGGTCCAACAGCACTCAATGGACTGATCAAACCCACCAGATGAAAAGAACCTGGCTCAGATGTTCAGGAACAACCAGAACCTCCAAGGCTCAGCACTGCCATGCACCGACAGGCTGCTGACAAAAAGATCAAATAAAAGTAAACGCTCCTAAAGAGACACCTTCAAGCCTGATGGACGAGCCAAATGTCTTCTGGAGAGAAGTTGTAAGATCGAGCAGTTTGGCAACAATAACAACAAGTGTGCTTGGAGGAGTCAAGGTTCCAAACCCAACAACAATGGACCAACTGCCAAGCATGGTGGCGGCAGCATCATGCTGTGGTGCATTCCATAAAGTAAATGAAATAATGGAGGACGACCTCCAAATTCTTCAGCTTCACCTCAGATCGACAGCTTCACGGATGAAGGTTGGACACACCTGGGTGTTCCAACAGGACCATGATCCCATCAGAACCAGTCTCTGATTGGATCAAACCAACATTAATATCCTGGAGTGAGTGGACCTTCCAAAGGGCCAACCTAACCCTGGGGAGCTCTGAGTACAGTCTGCTCCTCTGCATCTAAAGGAGTCCGCTGAAGAGGTTCAGCCTCCTGGATGCTGCACTTTGGAGGTTTTCTGGACATGCCCCACTGGTAAGAGACTCTGGGTCAGACCCAGAACTTTCTGGAAGGATCGTGCATCTTCTCTGATCTGGGAATACCTCGGCTCCCCCCAGGAGGAGCTGGAGAGTACCTCTGGGGAGACGGAGGTCTGGGTTTCTCTCCTGGACCTGCTAACGGCTACAGATAAGAGGTAGAAGATGGAGAATGTTTGAAAGTGTAGTCTGCGCCAGGAAATCCTTCCGTCTGAGGCTGAGGTGTGACATTTAACCAAATATTAGTGGGTGTATGTAAATATCTGAGCCTGTATGTATAATTCTGAGCAGTTAGTTCAAACCTGTGCACCGATCCTTGCTTTAAAATTCACTGAAGTTGTACAACTGTTCTCTTTTGGAAGAAGAACGGTTTAAATAAACCATTACAGCGGACTCTCAGGCCCATGAAGAAGGGATGGAAACTTCGATGCCTCTAATGGGGATTTATCTTTATTTTGAACATCTACTGGAGCCAGAACAACAAAGCCCAGGGCTGAGAGTGAGAGGAGACGTTCAGTTGGAACAATCACCCTCAGACGACACCCATCTGTTCTCCTACACAGATCTGGAGGTAAAAAGTGGGAATTAAAAAGAGAAGTGCTGCTTTTTTCTCCTGTACTTGAGTTTTGATGCTAAATGATTTAGCTGAGCAACAAAACTAAAAGGAACTGGCTCTGCTGGTCCGGTACTTTTGGACTGGACTGTCTGGTAGTTTCCTTTTGCTGTGATAAAACGAACTGGGCCCAGAAACCAAGGCACACTGCCGACAGCTGATCTGAAGCAGTTTTTACCGTTCAGGCTCCTGGTGAATAATCCGTCTTCACGGGTCTGCACTATTCTTTGGTCTGAGAGGTTGTTTCTCTTCCACTCCATTATTCTCAACTCCAGCTGATGTCGTAGTGGGTCCACCCTTCTGGTGGAGCCAAGAACACCCTTCGGCCCCGGTGCTGGAAGCTAACCACCCCCCTGTAACCCGTACGAGGAACTCCAGATTTTAGGTCGTCCATCACCCCCAAGTTTCGAGCAAAAGCCTTAAAACTGTCCCTGCTGGAGTACTTCACCCTGTACGGTCCAGGTCCTCTCAACCTGCCCCCCTGCTGCAGGTCTTCGATCTTCACCAACGGGGCACTATAAATGTCCTTGATGAACGTTTCGTCATAGTTCTCTCTTAGTAAATAAGACAAGTCCCGATTAGTGAAAGGCACGAACTCTGTGTTTAGCTTAATGTAGCGCAGGTACTGGTCAAAGAACTGACCTAAACTCACACCTTTCCTGCCAAAGGTGATAGTCCGAGAGATTTCGGGCCGTATGCAGGAGCGGTTCCTTCGCTGCTCGGGTTGGCGCATCCAGTCATCCCAGAAGGCCGAGGGCCATTTTGGTTCCAGTTCCTCCCACAGCTCTTTGAGCAGCATCCAGCCCAGGCCAGGAAAGAAGTCTGTTCTATGAAGGAGGTCGACTTTGGACGCATCGACCAAGGCGTCTCTGCCGTTATCGTTCCAGGCAGAAACGCACCAGAGGGTGGGGTCGGAGCGCAGGATGGGATACAGCGCTCTGAAATACTCAAAAAAGTCTGGAGCCACCTAAAGGGGAAAAGAGATGCACATTAGTGAGATCTGGTCAGAGATGATGTCATCCAAGGATTTTACACAATAGATGAGGTGACAAGAAAACGTGACTGTGCTCCGAGAAATATTATTAATAAAAACCCAGGAGCTCCATCTCACTCTACAGTCAGGCAGCAGGTCAAAGGTCAGGACAGAAACAGACAGGTCTGGTTTGTTTGAAGGGCTGCAGGAGAAACCTCTTCTGTCTAAAAACAAGATGGCCGCTCGACTCAGGCGTAAAGTTTCATCTGAAGGAACCACAAGACTCCTGGACCAGAACCAGACCAAAGGACTGATGTTTACCCAGAATGCACTGCAGCAAGCAGCTCCTCAGCTGTCAGCACGGTGGTGGAGGCTGATGGTTTGGGCTCCTGTCAGTCACTGAGTGGACCAGAACTCCTCTGTAGACCAAAAGGTTCTGGAGTCAGATGTGAGTCCATCTGTCCAACAGCTGAAGCTTGGACCAAACTGGGTCCAACAGGACCATGAGCCCAAACACAGCAGCTGATCTACAACAGAACGGGTCAGAAAGAACAGAACCAAGGTGCTGCAGTGGTCCAGTCAGAGTCCAGAACCTCAACCTGATAGAAATATAGAGAGAGCTGAGGAGAAACCTCAATGATGGAAAGAAGAGTGGTCCAGAACTCCTCCACAACCATGAGAGAGATGAAGTCCTACAGAGAACTACTGAGGTTCTGGTTCTGGAGGAGGTTCTACAAGCTGCTGGGTCAGGAGCTGGGCTCAGATTTCTATTTTGTCTTCACTTCAGTTAAGTGAGTAACCACACGGTGTGTGAGCTGAGCATCTGTGTTCACTTCAGTTTACATTTGGTCACTTTCAGAACCTGAGGACCAGACCAGTCCTGTCTACAACCCCAGGAGTTCATTTACAGTAGGTGGACTTTCTTCTTTCAGTGACCGTTCCAGGAAACCAGGAAACCAAAAACCAATCCACATCAGTTTGTATGAAAAACTTCTTCAGTTATTGGATGTCCAACAAAACACAAAATTATTTAAAAAAAGGAAAAGAATAAACAGAGAAAATAAAGATCCAAAAAGATCTAAAATGTCCAGCAATGAGCTCGTGATACTTTGGTCCTGAAGTCCTGGCTGCAGACTTTCCTCTCAGGCTGACACGTCCTACTTGCTTTTCAGCACGGAACTTGTTCTGAAGTTTTTGTGCCATTTTTAAAATGGCACAAAAACACAATGCCACGTTAAAAATGACAAAATCTTTGGGGTGGGGGGGCTTGTGGTCTGATGAACTCTCCAAGTTCTCTTCCACCTGTTCCCTGTTCTCACCACGATCAGTGTCATCTGCAAACATCATAGTCCACGGGGATTCCCCTGACCTCATCTGTTAGTCGGTCCATCACCAGAGCAAACAAGAAGGGGCTCAGAGCCGATCCTTGATGCACTCCCACCTCCAGCTTGAAGCTATCTGTCACTCCTACACTCACCACTGTCCTGCTGTCCTCATACGTGTCCTGGACCAGTCTGACATACAGTATCAGAGCACCACCTAGTGGGCTAATATAAAAAGCTAAAGTGTAGGAATAGAGGAAAATAAAAAACATTACCGAGAGGAAAGCATTATTTAATGATCTGATAAACATGTCATTAAAAGTTGTATTTACAGTTCATTTTTAATTTTCCCCTCAGGAACACGAGAATGTAGTGAAGTTACTGTGACGTTATGAGAGCACCCGAAAACATTCTGACAAAATAAAAATAAAAATAGAAGAATTTTACGGTTTTGTCAGGAAAACAAATCGTGTTTATTGACTGCACAAAAATAAATAAATATATAAAAACAGACAAATAAATGTGTGGCTGATTTTCCCGACACGAGGGTTAAGCAATATAAAATATTATTTTGCCAACAAATGTAAGAGTCTTTGTTTTGAAATAAAACTAAATAAATCAGTTTGTGTGTTTTGAATAATGTTTTGCTGAAGGTCATCAAACCGAGGTTGTTCTAAGAGACATCTTCGACATGTAAGATACTGATTAAAACTTTTCTCAGAAACCTACTTCTGCACGGCACTCACCTCCAGATCGTCCTCCACGACGACCACCGTGGACTGAGACAGGGTGGTGAACACCTGGCTCAGCGCCCAGCGATAATGTCGGGCGATTTTGTAGTAGCCCTGAAACTTCCTGTGCTCCGGCCTGACTCGGATGTCCGACAGGTCCGGCTGGCTAATGTGCATCACCTGATCGCCGTACGATCCAATCACACGGGCCGTCTCAGCGTGACCGCAGTCTTGGCTCACGATGATGGGGTAGAGCTCTGCAGAGGGGCGGTACTGGATGAGTCTGTCGAGGCTCCTCTTCACGGTGACCCTGTCGCAGGCGATGACCAGGATGGGGATGACGGGTTCTGGGCTGGGAGCCGGACTCGTCACTTCAGCGTTCTGAAGCTGCTCCTGGGAGTTCTTTGGGTGCGAGCTGGGAGCTGCTGTCCAATCTGCTCTCTGTGAATGTTTTGCGTCAGTGTCCGGTCCGATATTCAGATCGTTTAAAAGAAAATCTGGAGTTTTCAGCAGCTGCGGCCGAACAACCACCTCCTTCACAGAATCCATGTCTCGTTTCCCAACGCTCTCCTGCTGAGCCCACGCCGATCTGTGGCTTTCAATTTGCTTTAGGAGCTTCTTCTGGGTATCCAGCTGAACTTCCACCTCCTCTGCCAGCCGAATCATCTCCTCAGCCAGGTTGACTCGACCCGCTCGCTCCATGCCGATACCCCACTCCTCCTTTCCGCCGGGTTCGGCTCCTCCGCCCTCTCCGAGCCGGCCGATGGGAGGTCGGCCCCAAAGATAGAGCAGAAGCAAAGCGTTCCAGGCCACAAAGAGGAAAGCACCACACAGGATGATAGAACCTTTAGTGCGAACCATGGCCCAACAACACTAGGGATATGGATCTGGTAGGGAACAAGTGGCACAAATCAAAGGAATCTCAGGTGGGCTGGGAGTTTGCTCACATGGTTAGGACTTCATTCTGACGATTAGCCGACAGTCGGTCCGTTTAAAACAAAAGCAAGACGTCTGCCCTCCATGAAGTCCCATGAGCTGTGACGGGAGGTGGGGGCTGGCGATACGCGAGTCAGCTGAGGTTATCTTTCAGCCATCGTCCTGAAAACAAAACAGAAACATCAATCAGCACGTTCGTGCCGTCTCCATGTCCAAAAACACGAGTGCAACAAATTTCCTCTCAAAATGATCAGAGCTGGAAACTTGAAGAGATACTTGATGAATGTAATATACCCTGTAATCACTACTTTAAATACTTACAGCTGAGAAGTTTTATCAGATCACAACATGGTCAAACAATAGATAACTCTTTAATGTCCAGTGAAAAAAACTCATGACCGTGAACACTCTGAGGTGTAGTCTCTAAATATATAGATGTCTGGTAGATGGATGTACACAGACATCTGTGGAGTGCCTGGAAGCATGGAGACAGTACTACTAGTACTCGCCTGAAATTACTGCAGTACAACTGGTTAGTGCGAACATACAATGCCCCAGAAAAACTGAATAAATACAGCAGACGTTCCAGATGTGTATTAAATGTGACGTGGAAAACGATACAGTCTACATCTGTATTTGGCAAGAAGTGAAAAGTATTCAACAGGTCCAAAGACTGAGATATACCCCCAAGCCCAAAACTCTTTATACTCGATAAAGAACCAACACATGTTTATAGATTTAGAAATAAAGCAGGCTAAAAGAATAACTCACTGAAAAACACCAGGAGCCCAAAGGTTCGTAGGTGGTTTTTAGAGTCATCTCCAACCCTTTCAGACAAAATGACAGTAGTCCATCGATACTTTGCAGTCTGACTTGTGCGGATTCGCTCTTTCGCGGTTTTTCAAAGTAAGATTGTACACAAGGAAAAAAATGTACACGATTGTCAACTTTAATACACTGACTGGTCCCCAAACAAGTCGCCACCAAAAAAAAAAGGTCACTAATATTTCGTTGGACCTCCTGTAGCTTTGATTACATCATGCATTCACTGTGTCATTGTTTCAATAAACTTCTACAATGTCACAAGATCTGTTTCATCCAGTGTTGATTAATTGTTCACCAAGATCTTGAATTGATGACTAGACACTAGGCATGATGGGTGCATCACTTCACCTGCCTCTCTTCTTACCCTGATGTGCCCATCACTCTGGAACAGGGTCAGTCTGGACTCATCAGATCACATGACCTTCTTCCATTGCTCCAGAGTCCAATCTTTATGCTCCCTAGCAAACTGAAGCCTTTTTTTCCAGTTAGCCTCACTGGTTAGTGGTTTTCTTAAGGTTACACAGATGTTCAGTCCCAATCCCTTGAGTTCCTTCACATAGTTCATGTGGAAATGTTCTTACTTTCACTATTAAACACAGCTCTGAGTGCTACTGTTGTTTTACTTCTCTTTGATTTCACCAAACATTTAAGTGATCACCGGTCACCATCATTCAGGATTGTTTTCCGGCCACATTTCCTCTTGGAAGACGATGGGTCCCCACTGTCCTTCCAGTTTTTAATAATGTGTTGGACAGTTCTTAACCCAGTTTTAGTGGTTTCTACAACCTCCTTAGATGTTTTCTCTGCTTGATGCCAATGATTGGACCCTTCTCAAACAGACTGACATCTTTTCCACGACCACATGATGTGCCTTTCAACATGGTTGTTTAAGAAATGAGAAGCAACTCATTGCACCAGTTGGGGATAAATAACTTGCCCATGCAGTAATTATCCAACAGGAGGCTCGTACCCGTTTGCTTAGTTAAATCCAGGTGGCAACTTTTTTTATTTTGTCCAGGCAGTGTATTACTCATGTGACTGGGACAGTACGGCATAAAAAGTTAAACAAAAAAAACTTCGGACAGGCGTCGCCCTTTTGTAGTTTTCTTTCAGTAAGCCTGTACTGTAACACCAGTCAAAAGAACTACACTTCCCAGAAGCACACAGTGCTTCCAGCCGCTGCTATCTGCCGAAATGGGATAATTTTGCAGCGCAAAGTCAGAACTAACAATCTTTCTATTGAGCTGACAGAACTGGCAGGAAAGTTGCAAATAATCCAGCAGCTCAGTAATCCACACATCAACTTGGACGGGGCGGCGGGCTTCATCGCTGCAGGGTAGGTCCGCAGAACCAGAACCAAGCTGCTGTTCAAAAAAGTTCAAGACAAAAACAACCGGACTTTATTTCGTTTCGCTTCTCATCCGAGAATCTTTCTCAGTTCAAAGAACAGAGAGTGTGGGGCTCAAGTTACAAAGTCGTCCAGGATGTACCACGTCCTGGACGACTGAGAATCTTCACCAGCACGCTGCTGTCCTGCAGAGCTGCTGAGTAACATTTTGCAGAACTGTACAGTGCATATTGCAAGCGTGTGGGAAGGGTTTATAAAGCCTTAAAATATATATAAATACTTAAAGAAACACAGTGTTCCTGCTTCGCTGTTGTCTGGAACGTGACCCCGGCGATAACTGAAGGACTAGTGCAACATGAAATCACATTATGTTTAAGGTTTGACCCAAACGAGTGTGAAGTGGTGACATGGGTCAGAACGGACCTCTGAGTGCAACTCTGTTTGTCCAGCCAAAGTCCAGCAGCCCATGAGCAAACAGAGTGGAGTTCAAGGTTCCTCATGAGCTCTAATCTGAAGGAGGTCACGGCCAGTTCTCCGCATTAGAAACACCTAAACCAATTAGAAATACCACCTGCGCATTAATCCTGCACAGCAAACTGGACCACTCTGACTGTACGACAGCTCAGCTTCACATGGTCTAAAACACAAGCCCGTTCTCCACGCCCTCTGAACCACAGCGTGAAAACAGAACCGCGAACCCAAAGGGCTGTTTCTACAACTGGAAACTGATCTGGCACTAAACCAGTGTTCCCAGAAGGAATGCATATCACTCGTTGCCTTTAATGCCAGAGTTTTAGACTGATCAAACGATGACAGAGCTGCAGCATCTCCTGGAGCACGTAGCAGCCTGTGCTGAGGATGACTCTCAGCTACTACCACACACCTTGTGATTACTTCAAGAGTTTTGGTTCAATTCCTCCAGTGTTTCAGGAGATATTTTGCTAACAGACCAGAAGTGTTGACCGTACGTTTACGACAACGTTTTAAAAACAGACGTCTCGTGCGATCAGTTGGAGCTCAGTGTATGCATCGAGGATGACTCTCAGCTACTACCACACCCAGCTCTAGCTCAACGCTTGTAAAATCATGCGAGTTAGAGCAATTCTTTGCCTTGGTTAAGGTTGCTAGCTGTGGCGGCCATCTTGAACGGGGCTGACTCCAAAAGGTAATCAATTATAGATGTGCATTCGGTGATACAACTTTTCAAAGTTTCATTAAAACATGTCCACTGGTTCAAAAGATATTTTGCTAACAGACAAACTAACACGTGCAAAAAACATGACGCAGACACAGCTCTAAAGTTAAACATCCATTAAAACAGTCTTCTTGTAGCAGACAGGAGTTATTTCTACTTTACCTGAAGCACAATTACCGGCTGACTATATTTGTACTTCCGGTCCGAACCAAGAGCACCTGTCACCTGCGGGTCTGCTCGCGCAGCTCTGCAGGGAACCAACACCGACACCAGCTGACACCGCTGTCCCTCAGTCCCCTCCTCCCTCCGGGACACAACGTGGACCCACAGAACCGAGCCTGACACATGACGGCAGTCCCGCCGCTCCGTGCTAACATTTAGCCCTCTCTGCACCAGCGCCTTCAGTCAGAACCACCAGCCCGGTCCAGTACCACACGGGCGGTGACACGTAGCGTGTGTCCCGGCGCCTGATAGCAGAAACGGCTCCGTCCGGTTAGCTGGACGGGAGAGCCCAGAGACCGCGGGCTGACCGACACGAAGCCGCGGGGGAACGTTCCGGACGAACCCACCTGTCACGTCGTGGTTGGCGGCTGGAGGCTGCTGGTCCACATCCGAAAGAACCGGGCTCGTCCAGCGACGAGCGGCTAGCCGAGCTAGCTAGCTGCTGCCGTGGTGTAGCCGAGCTCGTGGTCCCCCGGTCTGCCGGTTCAGCTCATTTCGGTCCGGGGTCCCCTCACATCGTTGGGTCGGTCTTCTCTGCAGCACTGAACCTGGCTGGGTCGGTACACGACACTGTTGGCCTGAAGGCAGAACCTGTGCTGCCGGCGACCTCTGTGCTCAGCCCTAATGTTCAGTCTGTGATGCTGGTGGTTCGGCTGGGCTTTCAGCAGCTGGGTGGTCCACAGGCGGTTCTGATGTCAACTGACGACATTTTCCTACTGAATACACTGAACTTCCGGATTCATGACACGTTGATGACTGAATGATCGAGAAGGGGGTCTCTGCAGACCAAAAGTGGGCGTTTCTGGCAAATAGGCGTTTATGGACGGCGAACACTGATTGGCTAACAGTATTTAATAGGCGTTTGTCGGCGGCGAACACTGATTGGCTGTGGGTAACCCTCAAAGTCACGAGTCATTGATGAGGTAACGTTTCTTTGCGATGTTTGACAAAGAAATATGATTTATTGTACTTATAAAGTATGTTATGTTTTCACTTATGCATTTTATTGAAGTACGTTTATTGTAGGTCACGATAGTTTCGACCGTTCTCTCGTTGTTGTTGTAACGCACTGAGGTAAAGTGAGCCTCCACAGCAGCTCTCACTGTGCACGTTTACAACAACTGGGTGTTGCTTTTCAAAATAAAAGCTAAAAATAAAAGTTCTTAATACTTGAAAAATAAATATTTAAAAGCTGTGTATAACTGAAAAATATGAAAAACAAATAAATAAAAGTTGTTATTAGCTGAAAAACAAACAAATAAAAGCTGTTAATTATATCTATGTCTTTCTGCCATGTCAGGAACCACTCTCACTTCAGGTTGACTCTAGAAGACCCCAAGATGTTGCTCAACAATGTTGACCAACATCTGATGTTGACTTTCAAAATAAATCACCTCCAAAGTTTAACATAGTTCATAGTAATAGTCAAAAGTTGCTGACCTTGTTGCAACATGAGTTAACACGAACATGAGTGTAAATTGTCAATGATTCAATAATGAGTAATAACTTATTCAATAATAAGTCTGTAATTTGTCAATAATAGTCAATAATTCATTCAAGAATAGATTATGAGTGTTTGGTATGGCTCAGTGGCTAAAATGGGTTGGATGTTAGAGAAATTACTTAATTTTCAATTACCTGAATGCACAAATTCCTTCATTTATAGTTAAACTTTAGGAAATCAACTTTTTTTTTCTTGTGAAAAAAATATCAAAATTACCTTTTGGTATTCATTTTGAATAGATTGGGGAAGGAAAACAGCCCAGGCCGTGTAGAACTGCTATTTTGTAAAAATGTTGTGCTTGGTGATCTAATCATATTCTTATTACAATTTCAGGTGATGTGAACTGGAGGAAATATTCTGAAGAGTTTCAGGCTGAGCACAGAAAGCCTTATGTCATTTCTGTCTGCTTCAGCTGTGGAGAAGAATTTAAAGACTGTGCTGCAGGTTTCTGGGGCAGCGGCAAAAGAGGCGAGCTGAGGGCCTTCCACAGTGAAGCCATTCCTCCTGGGTACTGCAGCCACTTTGTGCCATGGATGCAGGGTTAGTAGTCTAGCTCTTGTACTGTGATGCCCACACATTACAATAAGTAACAACTAGCAACACCCTAACTGTACTATGTTTTGTGTTTCCAACAGATGCTACGATGACTTCTAAAAATGGATGTCCCAATAAACAATAAAAAAAATTCAATGATGCATCAAATGTTGTCTGAGTATGTTTTAAGGTAATAACAAATGTGAAATCTGGAAAACAAAGAGAATTCCTGAATCTGTCTTGTGTGCTTTGATGTGTACATAAGTTTATTGGAGGTCCTGAAACAACTTTTCTGAGAACACAAAGATTTTTATTTTACCTTTGGCCAAGATGTCAGTTTGAAATCAGGCTGCTTACTGCAAAACCAAGAGTTTTTTTAAGACGGTCTTCATTTGTATTGTTTTGTCGACTAAGCTAAATGTAATTTCTAAAATATGGATAAATCTGATCTCATCATGCAGCATGAGCAACTGGGTACAGGTGTGAGGGCCAAAAGTCTGGTTATGTACTGACTCCTAAATGTGCTGGTTTTCTACTGAAACATGGAGTAGGGTTGACCTTTAAAATGTGAGACAGCTGAGGAAGTTAACCAGTAAACAGAAATACCTGCTCCAGTTGCAGAAATCTTACAGAAACTGACAATCACTCATCTGTAGTGACTGCAGGTTGAACAAGAAAATGTGAAGTTAAAGGAAACCTCCTTTGTCCCAAGGCCAGTTTAAGTATCATTAATATTTTTCTTTCTTTATGAATCGATTGTAACTTTGTTCACATTTTTCAACAACCAAAATGGAATTTGTTTTTTTAATGTTATGGCTAGGTATTAAAAAAAAACCTAACATTTAGCTCTCCCCACTACCCAGTTATGTTGCTCTTATTTTGAAATGTAACCGGAAGTTCTATGTTAAGAGAGTCGAAAAAAGAAGTTATGGAGACGCCGCGGCAGTATACTGGAGCGATGTCGAACCGAGACGCCGCTAATGTCGAACCGGTTAACACCATAGACATAATATGCCTGTGGTTAACACAATCTGCCAATAACGCCTTGTTTTTAGACATCATGTGTCTGTGGTTACGGCATTTTATCGTTCAGCCTTTTTTTTTCTATCGTTCAGCCTTTTTTTTTCTATCGTCCAATCAGATGTGGCCGTCCAGACACGCCCATTTTTCTATCGTCCAATCAGATGTGGCCGTCTAGACACGCCCATTTTTCTATCGTCCAATCAGATCCGGCCGGCCAGAAACGCCTATTTTCCTATCGTCCAATCAGATATGACCGCCCAGATACGCCCACTTTCCTATAGTCCAATCAGATATGAGCGCCCAGATACGCCTTCCGAATTTGCCTGCAGAGACCCCTTCTTGGAATGATCCGGGGAAAGTCCCGAATTCACACACAGCGAACAAGAAAAAGTTAGTTTTACTAACCCACATTACACTAACTAAAGAAATTAGTTTAACTAATCCACATTACACTAACTAAAGAAATTAGCTTCACTAATCCATATTACACTAACTAAAGAAATTAGCTTCACTAATCCATATTACACTAACTAAAGAAATTATCTTCACTAACCCACATTACACTAACTAAAGAAATTAGCTTCACTAAC